GCAAGGCGGCGTCGCCCGGCCGAGCAGCGGCGCGCGCTCGTCGTGGCCGAGGGCCGCGACGCGCTCGGCGAGCTCGTGCGGTTCGCGACCCAGGCCAAGGTGTACGACCTCCAGGGCCTGCCGCAGGACAAGCTCGCGTGGCGGCCGGCCAAGAGCACGCCGCAGTACCACGCGCGCGGCAGGCGGAGGACCTCGCGGCCTGGAAGGGCTGGCGCGACTCGGTGGTGCAGAAGACGGAGGTCGTCGCCGGGCGCAGGGGCGGTGGTGCTCCGGACATCAAGAGGGTCGAGGCGCTGCGGCGGAGCGCGGCGGCTGCGCGACTGCAGATCAGGCTGCCGGGGCCCGACGGCAAGATGGCGCGGGGCAACGGACGGGATGTGCAGATTGTCGGGTCGAGGGAGTGGGAAGGTCTGCAGGGGCGGTTGGTCGTGTAAGCCGCTGGTCGAGACGAAGAGAGGAGAGAGAGAGAGAGAGGAGACAAGTAAGAAGCGGGTCATGCTGTCGTCCTATGGATGTGGCTAGAGGAGTAGATACGATACCCTTGATGCAAGTATCTTTTTTGTTCCCTTCACTTGTCTCTGTCTGAGTGCTGTGGTGATGCAATATTCGATTTTTGCCGCGTTTCGGCGGCCTACGATGTCTGTCGTAGTTTCATGTCTAACTCCTCGGTGCCCATGCTTGCATGCCTTCATGTGTCCTCGATTTGCCTGGTTCCTCCTCCTCCATTTCCCCTGACATACCACCTGATATCCCTTTTCCCCTGGTATATCCCCTGATATCCCCTTTCCCTGTCCCGTCCCCAACATGGACCGCAACTACGCCTTGCCCTTGCCCTTCTTCTTCTTCCCCGGCTTGTCCTCGATGGCGTTGCCGCCGCCGCCGCCGCCGCCGGGCATGCCCTGCGCCATGAGGGCGGCCATGGGGTTGTCGGCAGCCGGGCCGCCACCCTGCTGCATCTCCTTCATCATGTCGCCAAAGAGGTTCTCGCTGACGCCGCCGCCGGTCATGGCAGGGCTGATGTAGGGCAGCAGGTCGCCCATCTTCCAGCCGCGAGGCACGGCGGGGCGGGGCCAGGGCTGGGCGGGGTCGATGGCCGGGGGCACGCCCTGGATGCGGGCGCGCAGGGTGAGGCTGTCCTCGGCGGCGGGGTGGGCGCGCAGGTGGTCGGCGACGAGGAGGTAGAGGTGGTGCTTGCCGTCGACGGGGCGGGTCGGGGTGACGGCGGGGTCGTCGCGCGGCAGGCGGACCTTGACGCGGCCCGGGTTGGCCCAGTCCTTGGGGTGGGACTTGCCGGGCTCGAAGAGGGTGGGGATGCGCAGGGCGGCGCAGGCGTTGACGATCTCGCGGGCGAGGGGGTTGCGGACGGCGCGGGCGGCGGACACGCGGCGGCCCTCGGCGCGGGTGCGGGCGGCGTCAAAGTAGACGGGGTAGAGGCAGTGGTAGTCTGCGTACTGGCTGGCGTCGGCGGTCGTGTGGAAGTTGGCGTCGGGGGCCGAGGGGCGGGCGGTCTGAGGCGTGGGCACGTTCGTCTGGGCGGGCGTCTCGCGCTTGGGGTCGACGCGGCGCAGGATATCGGTGTCGTCAAAGTCGTCAATGTCGCCTTCGGAGGGGTCAGAGGCCGACTCGAGGTCGGAGTCGGAGACCTCTTCTATGCGGGCGTGGGACATGGCGGCAGGCGGGGGTGGTTCGAGGCTTTCGAAATGCCGTCGGCGGGGGGTGGAGGTCGAAGGTGATGACGGTGGTAGAAGAGATCGTGGTAGACCTCGTGGAGGTGAAGGTGGTGGTTGTGGTGGTGAGGTTGGTGAGCCTCGCCAGTGGCCAGGGTTTTTGGACGTGGGGTCGAATTGCACCTGCCCCAAGGCAAGGAGGATCCTCCAAGGTAAGCAAGCACCTTCCAGGACAGCAGGCAGGTGCAACGCAGTCGAGGTGGGGTAGAGTGCTAAGACGAATTGGGTTAGCGTTGGTGTGGGGATGGACGTGTGTCTCGGGCTGGACGTCGACCACCATCTATCATCCAACATCTATCAACCATCATCATCAACCTCAACAATTCTCGATTCAGCAACACCATCACCATCAGGACCAAAGCAACCATGCAGCATCAATTTGGTCATACCTGACATCCATACAAACCATCCACACCAAGCACACTACAAATAATCCACACATCGTCTCTTCATGATCGTCAGCGTGTCATCCAACCACGTATCCGACCGTTGTCCCCGACTCTTCCTTTGCTCAAAAAATTCTCTCTTTTTTTTTTGTTTTTTCAATTTCTCTTCAATGGGAAGGTTCCTAAACTTGGTATCAGGTGGAATGCTCCGCTCACACGAAACTTGTAATGCGGAAGGCCCGCACACCCCTTTGAAAACCGTCGGGACACTACACCCCCC